CTTCATTAAAGCGTGTAGTTGTTTGTAGTGGTTATTCAAGTGTTTCCTCATATGGTGAATTATGTGACCGGCTGTTTAGAGCCTTCGGCATAAGCATAGCATGCTGGTTGCATTTGACTGTGAAGGGATTACGAGCATAGATATTACTCGTTGCTAAGTAATACCATGGATTAACTATCAAATTATGGTTTTTAATTGTTGTTATTGGTATATGGGAGTATACAGCCAACTCATGTTAGATGCATCATTAAGGTATCCTCATGGTTCATGTGATAAAAGCTCTTGAAACTTCTTCTGAAAAAGAAAATGGTATTTAGTTTTGTGTAGTATTATGCCATAGGTCTGCAATAGGATGTAGAATGGGGAAAAACAAACTTACATTACTCTGTGTTGTTTCTGTAATTGATCTGCTATTTGCTTGGTAGCCAATTTTTCTATTGTCTAAAACATAGATGTAATTTCTTTTGTGGTTTGAATAACTTCGGTGTCTTCCTTGAACAAACAAGAATGATATTAACTTTACTATGACAATTTAGGGGCCACTTTGGAAAGTTGATCTTCTGACATATTATGATATTTTCCCTGGACAAGAAAGTGCCATAAAAGAGAGTTTTGAGATTGCCACAGCTAGGCGCATATTGAATATATAATGAAACTTGTGTTTACTTTATCACTTGGAAAGTGTGTTTACTTCATCACTTGAGATAACCAAGGACACCTTCACTTTGACTTCTCAATTTTGAATTTCAGTTGCTCCTGCAGCTTATAATCGGAATTTGTTAGGAATTTGCATGCAGATCTTTGTTTTTAACGTTAGCTGCAGGTGTTGGAGATGCTAAAGGTCGGTAAACCCCTTAGTAGTACTTGGTTTGCAAGGCTTTCTTCTGCAGAGATTCACTATTTCTACAAGTTGTGGAATTTGTTAATCTTCTCAATCGAGGGGCTTAAGTGTGTGGGTTGCTAAACTCGTCTTTCATATCTCAACCAAGAGATACCTCTCCAAATTTGCCATTGTCTATTCATTTCTTCATCATATTTGAACCTTAACAGGATCAGCATGATTTTGTTACTGATAAAACACATGCTTTTAGGTGTATGGTCACTTCGCTGTTCATTTTAGGCATATTTGCCTTCTAAACTTTGATATTCAAATCTCTTGAAGTGTGGCAATAACATATAGATAACGTCATTGCTCTGTCCTGTCCCCAATTATGGGGTTGGCCTTTAGTCCCCTCAGCAACAATTCTTCTCCAGTATCCATTGGAGGGTGGATTTAAACTAACAAGAAACAACAGTCTCTTGAAGTGTGGCAATAACACATAGACAAGGTCAATAACATATACACAAGGTCATTGCTGTGTCCTTGTCCAAAATTATGGGGTCAGCCTTTTTGTCCACTCAGCTACAATTCTTCTGCAGTATCATTAAGAGGGTTGATGTTAACTAACAAGAAACAAAAGAGATTCTGCTAATAGGTGCTGGACTACAATTGCCCTATCTTCCTAGATATGAAGCATTTTAATTAGTGGTGAACTACCAGCTGGTTTACCCATGATTGCAAATCTTCTGGTAGTTTGGAGATCTGTCTAGAACTTGATTTTGGGACACAAATAGCTAAATTGAAATGAGCTCAATTTTATTTGAAGACACACCTTCTCAAGTCCTAAGCAAGGGAAAGAATTAAGTGATGAGTAAGTACAATTGTCAGAGGAGACTTGTTGCAGAAATGCTGATGGAGGTAGGCTTGTCCTTATGGACAATAATAAAGCACGTTTTTGCAATCAATCACTCTCTTTCCCCTGCTTTATTTTGCATTATGGAACAAGTTTGATTCTGTGATCTATTGCTTTTACCATAGGTTGGGACGTCTATTGGTCGTTTCCAGTATAGTTGGATTTGGGTCCAGAACTTCAAGCAAGCAAGTGATCATGCAATGCTATTGCTTTCTATTCACTGCTGGAGGCTCTGGAGTTCCTCAGTGCTGCATTATTGTTATTTGTGTGGGATTATAGTAGTTCTACTTGTTTTGATGAATCCTTCTCTTGGAGTAATGCTGATTGGAGCTGCTCAACCTTTCTTGGATTATTTTGTTGCTGAATTCGATTGGTCTGCAGCAGTATAGAAGAAAGCAACAATGTCATGGAGTGTTTGCTTGGCTTGTTCGAGCCACTAGATATGTTTAAAATTTTAGGATCTTTGCTAAATCAGTTGCTATCTGCAGGTTTTCTAGACTTATTACCAGCTGATAGATAGATTCAGTTTGATCTGGAGATATCCTTTTCAATGGAGGAAGTGGAAATTAAGCATTCTGGATCTGAAGATCTTGTCTGTCAGCAACAGAATGAAACCTGCAAAAGTGAAAAAAAGGCAGGGGGGTCACACTCACAGCAGTCTGGTGGGCCTTGTATGCTCAAACAAGAATTAAATGAGGCAGAAGCTACTGAATTGGTGGAGAAGGGGTTTATGGAGTATGGGTAAGCTCTAATCTCTTGCTTCACTTTAATTGACTTTCATTCAGTTTGCTTTCTTTTTGTTGTTGCTTAACATCATGTACTGTTATTTCCCCCCCTGTTTCACCAGTTGTTCACATTATCGAAGAAGGTGCCGGATTAGAGCTCCTTGTTGTGGTGAGATCTTTGATTGTCGCCACTGTCATAATGAGGCCAAGGTTAGTTCTTACCCTTAAACATTTTATAGTTAACATTAATTGTTATCTATATAAAATTGTTGTTTGAGAATGCTACTATTAAGGAGAATACGCGACGAGGATAAATTAAGTGTTTATCATGCAAATTTATTTCATTGTTTCATGATATCTTTTAAGGTTCATGAAATTTAGATATTGATGTGCTTTTATTGAAAATGCAGTATTTGCTAGTTATGGCCCTGGTTTTTTTCTGATATGGAACTGGCAAGTTGAGAACTATTTCATCCTATTATCAAAAAAAAAAAATCATTTCTTATTATTAATTTGAATAATATTAACATGTAATTAATTTTTGATTATGTACAGAACAATATCAATGTTGACCTGAAGCTCAGGCATGATATCCCACGGCATCAAATAAGTCAGGTATTTATATCCACAGGTTCAGCTTTGTTCTTTCTACCTCATGGTTCGTGCAAATCTTTTAGTTGTATTGGCTGACATCTCCATCTCCATTGTAGTAATGCTCCATGTTCCTAACATTTCTTTTATTTTTCCCCCTTAACTTTTTCCAGGTCATATGTTCACTCTGTGGCACAGAACAGGAGGTAATTTAGTCTCATTCATTTTATGGGTATTTCATTAAGCCTTTTTTCTAGAGGAAATATGTCAATATTACTCCTTGAAACTTTTAAGGTATTCATGTGTAGGAGGAATGATGGTATTTCTGATGACAGGAAAAAGTAACTAGCACAGTTTTGTGCTTCGTAAGCATTTTATAGGTAGTTTGAGTTCTCCTAAGCATGTTTGCTTTTTGATTTCAATTTTGAACAGGTCCAACAAGTCTGCATTAACTGTGGTGTATGTATGGGAAAATATTTCTGTGAGACCTGCAAATTTTTTGATGATGATGTAAGTGGATAAACAGTTATCTAGTGTAGCAAAAGAATATGAATGTTTGGTTTTCAATCTTTAATGTTTTGTGAGCTTTTTTCCTGTTGTCTAAGCTCTTTATGTTTTTGCACAAACAATTCATAGGATACAAGAACTGGTATACTAATAATCTTTTCACTATGCAGACATCGAAGAGACAGTATCATTGTGACAGTTGCGGAATCTGTAGGTATGGTGTTCATGTCAGTTTTGTATGCCTTTATTTATTACGTGCAGTAATGGGTTTTATTTTTTTTAAAAAAAAAATTACACCTAGAACAGTCATTCTCATGCGGTATGTTGACTTTTTCTTTATCCACAATTTGAAAATTGTTAAGTAGAGCCTCAATGTGATTGGGAGATGATGACCTTGCTTTTAAGCTCAAAGTGCTGTTGTTTTCTTCGTATTCTTTAGTTGACTGATTAAGCAAAGATTGTTTGGAAACTACTCCTCATATTTCTCCCCTCCGAGTTTCTGTTGACTGTTTTTGTATTTCTAACTGTTTTAGAAATTGTTTATGAAATTATTATCTGTATTTCTTCCATTTTCACTGTTGCTGTTTTATTATGTCACTGCATTTGTCAGTTAATTTTGTAATTGTCACAATTAAATAATAATGTTATTTTCTTCCAGAATTGGTGGACGGGAGAACTTCTTCCATTGCTACAAGTGTGGTAAGCTAATCTAAAGTTATTTTTTATAAGTTTGTGTTAAAAGTTGGTTGGGTATTTGAACATTACTAATATTCTTATCTGGTTCTTTTTTTTGTTCTTTGTTGCAAACAGGTTGCTGCTACTCAATTCTTCTGAAAAACAGTCATCCCTGTGTGGAAGGAGCAATGCACCATGACTGTCCTGTATGCTTTGAGGTAACTTCAACGAAACATTTACCTATTTAGTGTGTGATTGGATGAATAAAAGTCAAATTTATTAAGTAATAAATTGCCTTCATATACCAAACTGAAACCCCAAATTTGGATGTGCAGTTTTTGTTTGAGTCAAGATATGATGTTACTGTTCTGCCTTGTGGACATACCATTCACACAGATTGCTTTAAGGAGATGAGGGACCATTTCCAGTGAGTTCTTCAGCCCAAGCTCAAGTTTAATTATTTTGGTTACTGCATTATAATGTTCTTGACCGCTATGCTAATCACTGCAACAGATATGCTTGTCCTCTATGCTCCAAGTCAGTTTGTGACATGTCAAAGGTTTGGGAGAGATTTGATGAAGAGATTGCAGCTACACCAATGCCTGAACCTTACCAAAATAAAATGGTTTGTAATCTCAATATCATTGTCTGTTTTACATAGTCTGTCCTTTTGTGTATATTATGAGAGCTGAGAGTGCTGTCAACTAACCATGTATCTTGTAAGAAGATTATCTCTCTTTTTTGAGGGCAAAGAATGACATCCTGAAATGATTTAGTTGAGATTTACTTTCATGGAAGTATCTCCTTTTAGATTTGTTCGTCCTCAAAATTTTAGTTGTGATTAACAGGTCTCAATCCTTTGCAATGATTGTGGAACGAAGTCAGAAGTTCAGTTTCATGTCCTGGCCCGAAAATGCCCAAACTGCAAGTCATACAACACTCGGCAAACAAGAGGCTGAAGTGGCAAGAGTAGTTGCTGAAATGACTTGCTGATATTTTTTCTGCATTGATGCATCATGATTGGGTTCTCATCAAGTGCAAAACATCATGGCCGCACTCATGGAGAGAATTGTTGTCCTTTGGGCATGCATTCTATCTGGGTCAGAAATTTTGTATTTTACTTCCCTTGCCACCATATTGCTTGTATGTTCGATGTCTTGTAGATAATTGGCAACATCATTGCTGGTTCACCTAGACAATATATTTTTCCTTTTGGTCCTTGTTTAGATTTCCCTTTTGTGGGACAAATGGCTGTTTGATCCTTTTAGGCAGCTAGTTTACTATTTCATCCATTGTCCATGGAATTGGTGTTGAACTTATCCATTCCAGTCATCTTAAATTTTGCCTAAAAGGGTTCAAATTCTCCTGATGTTGTGTGGGAGCAGCATTAGTTGTGATTCGTGATTTGTCTGATAGTAAACTTGTTTGTTGTGGATTACCTTTTGAGTGTCACCTCTAAACCTTAGGCTTTGAGAGCAGAAAATTTTGGCAGGGGTATGTCTGAAAAGTTTAGCATGTTCATGTTAAGAGACAAATTTGTGACTGCTTGTTATCTTGCTGGTTGCTGGTATTGATTTTCTGGAGCACGGGATGTTGCAGGCTGGTGTTGTGTGGCAGTCGGTTTCTTTAATGTCAATATTGTTGTGTTGGGATTGGAGGTTGAGCCCCATCATGATGAGAACTTCGAATTTATTTTTGGTTTCATCAGGACGATGAACGTACCTTTTCTGTTTCATTGGCATTGTGTTGATCTTTTCCGAATGTTATGCTTTTTTTGTTTTTTGTTTTTAATGTGTTCATCCATCTTAAGTTTTGTTTCTGCTAATAATGTGCTTCGGTTCTGAGGATTCCAAGAATTCAAACGAGAGACTGATTTGTATTCTGGGATTTATGTTTTTTAAAGGATCCGAGAGTTACTAATGCATGATTTCTGCTTATGCGACTAATAAGCGTTTGCCATTTGGATTTTGGCTTTCAGATGATTTACAGATCTGTAAATGTCACAAGTGAGGCTTCATGTATAAGCAGTTACCATTGCAGGGCTATGAATCTTGGTAGCACAGCACAGGAATATAACCATTTATCTCCGATAAGGGATTCCTAGCTATCAAAGTTTGTCTAAATCTCTGACGAGGTACAACATTTTGAGAGTATTTTTGTATCTTGGGCCACATTTGAATAAATCCGGATTGAAGATTCAAAATTAAAAAGGAACAAAAGTAAAGAGAAAGGTTTGGGTTCTTTACAAAGAAACAAAATTTTAGCCGAGCCAGATTTTGGGAAGGTATGATCACCTGTTGGAACGGGGGTTCAATTCAGGAAGTAGACATACTGAACACCAAAAGCAGCTAAGCTGCTTTGAAATAGAATAGGAAATCCTCAAACTAGTTAAGCTGATTTCCTAGTTCTGTAATAAAAGCTACAAGCAATTGATTTTTTATTGGCTTTTGTTGTTGCCTTTTAAACAATTACTACAAATGTACATGAATACAATAATATATGTTGTAATAATTGTATTTAGTTAATTTTATCAAATATTAAAAATAATTAAAAAATAATATTTATGAGATAAATATCATACTTTTTGTTTCAATCTTCTCATTTAAATTCTTACTGTTTCTTTTTTTTTTACATTTATGTGATTTTTTAAATCTTTTCACATTTAAGTGACTTTTCAAATTTTTACTGTTTATCAAATTTTTTTTTCCTATTTATGCAAGTATCCTTACTTACCAAGTTCTTAATTGCTTTTGTTAGTCATTTTCTTTTTACAATCCGTCATCTAAAAAATATCATGACGTGTTTTTAAATATTTTTTTAAAATTAATAACTTTTCAAGTGTATCATTTAAAAAATGTCACGATATATTTTTAAATACTCTCCTTAAATTAAAATTTTACAACTTACCACGTATCATGTAAAGAAAGTTACGATGTCTTTGTTCTATATATGATATAAACCACCAATTAGTACGAGACATATATGTTCAACTTGACATGAAAAATCACATTCATCTTTAAATTTAGAACGGTACAACTACCAAGCAAGGAATTTTTGTATTGATGTTAAAAGAGCTTCATATCCTTACCTAGGTGCCCTTTGCTATTGGCATTCCCATCTCGGCGGAATCACGTCCTCTTACCTGTATCACCATGATGACTAGTACAATCACAACACTAGCGTTCGTGTACGAGTATTTCTAGGATATTCTTCTGTCTTTCTATATAGTCTCATTTTCATCAACTTGGGGATATTCAGGGACAATCCTCTTCCAGAACCAATGTTTTCTCCACAGAAATATCATTTCTTCAATAGGAACTCCCTTGGTTTCAGGCAAGAAAACGAAAACAAAAAGGGTCATGACAGTGATCCAGGCCGCGAAGAATAGGAAGATCCCAAACTTGAAATGACAAAGCATGGCAAGGAAACACTGAGCTATGATGAAAGTGAATAGAAGATTTACAGCCACTGTAATGCTTTGCCCCGCTGACCTGGTTTCCAATGGGAATATTTCACTTGGTACAGTCCAGCCTAATGGACCCCATGACCATCCAAAAGCCAAAACAAAGAGACATATCACAATCACCACCAATATTGAGTAACTTTTTGATAGTTCTTGGTTTTCCCCAAACTTCAACCCCAAGATTATGGCAACTATAACCTGTTTCAAAGGGAGATGAGAGAATCATCATTTGTCTTTCTTAAGTTACTTTTATAGCTTTTAGGAGAAGTTGGAATTTATTATGTGATGACTTCAGTGAAGTCCAATATTATATTTTCAAAGGCAGAATATTAAGATCTCTTACCTGACATATAATCATTTGTATTCCACCACTGATGAGTAAAACTCTTCGACCCAATTTATCCACTGTTGCAATGGAAATGAATGTAGATCCAGCCAGAACTCCTCCTGTGAGAGCTGAAGAGTAGAATGCAGCATTTCGTCCAAATCCCATGCTTTGGAATAACACTGGAGCATAAAAGAGGATGGAGTTTATGCCTGTTAGGATCTGGAATGCTGGCATGCAGATTGCCATGACCAATTGTGGCCTGTTCCTTTTCTCAAGGATGTTTCTGAAGGGATGCTTGATTGCATTTGCCAACTCACTAGCATCTACCATGTCTTGAAACTCTGCATCAACATTATCTGTTCCTCTAATCCTCACCAGGACTTTTCTGCCTCTCTCTTTTGATCCCCTTTCAATTAAGCTGTTAGGTGTCTCAGGAAGACAGAATCCTCCCACCGTCATCAAAAATGCTGGTATTGCTGCTAGGCCCAGAGAAAGCCTCCATCCCCATGGTTCAAGCTTTTGAGTCCCATAATTGACCATGTTCGCTGTAAAGATTCCAAGGGTGGTTGCTAACTGAAACATCATGTTGAGGCCTCCTCGTAGATGACTTGGTGACATTTCTGACAGGTATAGCGGAACAGCCTTCATAATAAGCATGAAAAAGCATGGCTCAGGAATTCTCAGAAATATCTACTATACTATTATATGGTTAAATCTCTCTAGGATCAGTACACAATAACAGGCAACGAAGCTTTGCCTGCAACCAGAAGCAAATCAATGCTCCTATTCAGACAAGTAGACAAAACCTATGCTTCAAAGAATGGGAAGGAAAATTTTGGTCTTTCCAAAATCCTTAGTAAGTTCATTCTACAAGATGAACAAGGAGAGCTTCAAGTGAAGCAGGTTATTACCTGGTTTCCAAATCCTATTCCAACACCAAGCATGATTCTACCCAACAGGAGCATTGCGATATTGACTGCTGCGGCATTTAGAGTTGCTCCAATAAGAAAGCTGATTCCCCCACAAATTATACTTGCGCGACGGCCGTACTCCCTGGTTATAGGAGATGCCACCAAGGATGCAACTAGACCAGCTAAGTATAGAGAAGAGGTGAATGCTGCCAGCCCTTGGTTGTCATACTTGCAGTAGTTGTTTTCATGGGCATGCTGCTTCTTTATGTACACCGAATGGAAAAACTTCTGCAGAAATCCATTCATGGAAGTCACTCCACCTGTGAATCATTGTCATGACATTAAATAGAATATCATTGACGAAAAGTCTCATAATATTTTGTTGGTTGCCGAGGAACTTTTCTGGCTTTGCAAATTCTTATACTAATAAATGAGCACAAATGGTGCACACCCTTTGTCGGTTTAGTTTTTCTGGTCTATTTTCATGTTCACTCGGGAAGAAACAAAGAGGGTCCTATTTTTTCAATTAACAGTAGATTCAAAGTGTTGAATTCAATATCAGAATTAATTGTGTGTTCAAGATGAGGCCAAGGACTGTTCAAGTTTTAATCTACTCCTTAGAAATTGTATTGAATTGAAGTTGCCTTCAACGCATACAGAGGCTGAGGGTGAAGTTCTATTGGCCTTTGGAAATAGAATAGGTTTAAAACATGAATTGCACAAACTAAATCAATTTTATGTTCAAAAGTCTATCTATTGTTTGATTCCTGATCACAAAATTATTTCCCTGGAACTCTAGATGCTCTGTTGAGCTCCAGCTATGGTTTTTTTTTCCTGTGCCTGGAAACCTAACGCGGTGAAACAGAACAATTCTCTTTCCATTCCTGCCAAAAGATGCAACTCTTGAATTTAAATATGATAGTTGATAGATAACTGTCTCCTTCACTTCTTTACATTACCATCGACACCAGATTTTCATTCTTTGATGATTTCTACATTTGCTTCTCAGTAGGTTCTTGGTGGAGTGTTGGTAGATTTTCTCCTTAAAATGAACGCCTGAACAACAATCTAAACAATTCCATCTATAAAAAGTTTGGCAGACGAAACGAACAGTACCTGAAATTCCAATGTCATATCCGAAGATTGATCCTCCAACAGCTGCAACCATGCATGCAATAAGCACATGCAAGGTAACCCTCCCTTGGTACAGCTCTGCTCTCTCCTTGACCACCCCGATTGGAGCTAAAGACCCTCCCGCCATGTTTGAAAGCTTCTCTTTTCCTCGTCCCAGAGACACCAAAGAACCAGATGAAATAAAAGAGGATAGCTCTCCGAGCCTTGTGGTGTAAATTGTTCTGCCTGCCTCTTGTTGAAGATTTTGAAGCTGATTGCAACGGTTGACTGAAGAGATACAGCCTCCCACTTGACCTTCAAAAGCTAGAAAATAATTTTACAAAGTGGTTATATCAAGTATCTGTCAAGGAAATTATTTATTCATTTATTTAATGGACATGGCAGTATTATGTGTATGGAGACTATGATCTACAAGGATATATAGGTAACTTGCAGTTAAGATTCTTATTTTACAATCTTTTTGACTTTATTTGAAATTTCTAGTTCTATTATTTACCAAAGAAGGGAAAGAAAAAACGTTCCATCACAACTAAGGCAAGACTCGTACCAGGCAAACATTCTATTTCTAGGAAACAAATTTCATGTGTAGATAAGATTGTCACAAAAGGTAAGAAGATATTATTAATTTTGGTAGATAGAAAAAATCTGACAAACATGGTCTTGATTGCCAACCAAGTGATCAATGGGAATCCATCTATTTCTGGTAGTTAGCATTCTTGTGATGCCCAGTGAAACATCATGACCATCATTCTTCTGGGTTTTTCAGTCATACCTTTCTCGACTTTCTGACTGAGCTGAAATGAACCTGTTGGATCGATTGAAGACGCTCTTCCTTGTATTTATCTGCAAAAGAAAAGGGTCACAGTAAATCTCTGGTTTCTCATAATATTTGTAAAATGTTGGCATGGAACATGACCCTGTAAAACAGGAATAAAATTTGAATAGTATTTAGAGGCCGAAATGGTTGCCTATGGTGGTTGGAAAGTTGGATCAGAGATAGCAGATACACCAACATCCGTCTTAACTATTATTTATTTTTTCTAAACATGATCAGATACCCAAATTCTTGAACTTATACCAAAAGAAAAAAAGGACAAATATATACTTCTATGAACGAATAATCTCCCTTATTTGGCCCTTAAAGGATACTAAGAGAAGAGAATGAATCTGGTCAATCATGTTCATGAAAAATACTAAAAGGCAATATATATTATCAGTAGAAGTGAATATGGTAGCATCAGAATGACATTGATTTTTCAATGATCCCGTATGTGTTTGTTTCATATTTGATTCGGATTCTCGTATATTTTGTCTGGATTTGAGCCATGTTGCAATGCTGCTGCCTTAGTGCCTATGCACTATATATATATATACACACCCGCAAGTCAAAAGGGCACAGGCTTAACTTACCCTTGCTTGGGAGAAATGCAATACTTTTTCATTGTTATTTTCTCTGTGTCGTCTCGTCCTTTTTCATTTCCCCACTAAATGCACGTCAAGAAACGCATCTCTTATCATCCAATCAGGCAATCACTGTTACTTTCATTGACAATGCACCTTGATAATCCAAAGGGAAAGCCCTTTTTCTAAATCCTGAGTAATGAACTGGCAATTGTACTTAATATCCGAGGAAGAATAAGTGGGAGTTTTAGACTTTTAGAGTTCACTTAATTTCCTATGATAATCCAAATTTCCTAGTTAGAAGAAAGAGAGAGAGAGATAGCACTCTATTATGTCTTATATATTAATAAGTCACTCCTAATAGAATCTCAATAGGAATTGAATTTTTAACTCTTTTAATTAAGGTTCAGTATATGGTCAGTGCAGGATGCTCAATACTTTATACGTACTGATGATTTTACATAGAAAACATATAACAAGAATTTATGAAAATCATTTGAGTAAATGGTTTATTAATTAGTACATAATTTTTTATTAAAAAAATAAAATTTAAAATTTTTTTCAATTAAAATAAAACAAAAATTAATAAATATTAAGTTTGACCTTTTAATCGGTCATTAAAGACCATATTTAAATAGCCTAAAGTAGTGGGCCAACCTTTAATAAGCACTTAAAATGGGATTGGATCCAGCTACGCGTTTCACACTTCCAGCCGAAAAGGTCGAATCCCTCGCAATTATTACCATGGCGGGGATGTTAAAATCATTGAATAGTCAGACAAGTTGTAATGCGCCCCTCTTTTTTTAAATTGCGTTTGAATGACGAGAGAATTTGATCAGATTGGGAGAGTTCCTTCCTTAACTCTCACTTACTTAGGCTAATTAAGCACTCTACTTAACCCTAACTAGCCTTATTTTACTCTTTGTATTGTAAATCAAGTCAATTTTTTCTTTTTCTAATAATTAAATAACGTTTAGTATCTTATAATGTAATATAATTATAAATAATATAATTACAAATAATGTAATTTTTAAAAAAATAATATGACTGTATGATATATAAATAAATAATAATTAAAATATATAAAAAATAATATTATAATATTTAAGTTATAAATATTTTATTAAAAATATAATATCAATTTTTAAAATTAATTTTATTTATTAAAATATGAATTTAATATACTTATATTTTTTATTATTAATTTTAATATAATAAAAATTTTTAAATATATTTTTAATATCATATATTTTATTTTTATTTTTTATTATAATTTTATATACTTTATTTTTATTTTTTAATATAATTTTTTATATTCAATTTTTTTTCTTTAAAAGATCATATAATTTTTTTTTATAATTACCATACACCATCTAATAGAGAGTGACAAAAAGACATCTCTTGAAATTTATATAAAAAATTATAATATTATAAAATATTTTTAATAAAATAACAAAATTAAAAGATAAAAATATTTTTAAAAATATTATAAAGTACAATGTAATAATTATATTAATTGTAGACAGTAATCACATTACATTTGTTAATTGTAATATAATTATATTATCATTTAACATTATATTAATTTATTTTAAAATAATTACTTTAATATAATTTAATTAAATAAATTAAAAAATACATTTTTATTTTTTTCATACCAAACGCTATGGTAATATTAAATTTTGATTCTATTTTTCAACCTACACGGTATGATATTCCTAAATCCATAAAAGAAGAGTCATAAAAGTAAGGTTCTTTTACGGAAGCTAATTACCATATTCAAGGGTATGGAAATTACTTTTATGCCCATAGTGTAAAATATCCCAGCAGAGATTATACACGCAACATTGCCATTTGTTGCATTTGTCGATTAAGCTTTAAAAGAGAGGGAGCATCAGCTTCCGTGAACGCAAGTTTGGCGTCCACATCGAGGCGGAGCTCATTTCACGTCTCGTAAAGTCAATGCAGAACTCAGACGTCTTGCCAAATGGTAGTAAGTGCCAGCTTGTTCCACTAGTGCCAGAATCTTTAAACTTTGTTTAGTAAGATAAGATAGAACATGGCAATCGGCGGTGCTGGAGATGACTTCAGCCAAACGGGTTTCGGTCAATAAAGTCCTAACTGTTTCGGTTAAGAACGAAGAGTAACTTTTTCAGCAGAAAATATATACGTTCTTTTTATTGAATTAAATACTTCAATCAACTCAAGTGTTGCAACAATGTAGACTCAAAAGTTATATTTCTTTTGTTTTGTTAGTAGTGTATTGGTTAATTTTAGATTTTATTTGAAAATAATTTTTTTAAATATTTAATTCATTAATTGTTACATCATTCTTGTTTAAAGAGTAAAAGTCGAATTTTTTTTTTTAATTACAAAAACAAAATTTCTCTATAGATCGAATCTTGATTCACAAGAAAATGGAATCCTTATCTTTCCTGCAATTTCTTCATTGTTTGAACTTCACCAAACCTTTATTGCAAGACAACCATTTTGGAAATTTTACTGGTCTGAAGCTGTTTTTGTTTTGAGTTATTCTATAGATTATTGTACCACTTGGCTCTGCTTATTTTTTGAGCTGCATTCCTAACTTTCACTCTCCTCATCATCATAATATTGATTACATACTAGTTAACCATTATTTTCCCTTTGACTCTGATTTCCTCTTTTATTATACAATGGCTCTGACAATCAAATTGGATTATTCTGCTAATTTTAATATTTAAAGAAAAGATGGCTTATTAAGTAGTGAGCAAGAACCCAAATTATTCTATGTGAATTCCTTGAATCTCACCTCCCACTTGTATACCCATTTCTTCTCTTGTATACCCATTTCTTCATGTTATTTGTCAATGTCAATAGTAGTGATAAGATTGTTAATAGCATTACAGTAACACTAGTTTTAAAAAATCTCATCATTCTAGAGATTGGTTATGATGCAGATTTGATCAAGGACAGATAACCATTCTAAACTAGTTTTATGTTACTCAAACCAAATGGTCTAGTTATCATAATATCACTCAAGGTTACAGCCTATCATCAACCAACATACATATTTAAGTTTCCTCCTCCCAAGAATATAAAACTGAAGGGGCAAAAGATAGCTGGACTGATATTTGTTAAAGCAAAATAACTGGCTTAACCTGCACCCTCAAGCATATGTAACGTCCAACTTATTCCTAGAATGAAAAAATTGGAATATCGGATGGGATAGGATTGCAAGACAGTTCAAAGAGCATAAGTGTTTGTTTTTTTTTATTCTTTTCGGTAATACTTACTACATATACAAACTTGCTTGTGATGTGTTGTACCTCAGGGCGTTGTGGTTAAACAACTTCTGTTGTACTCAGAATACACCACTCAGAAAACCCCTGCAACAGAAATGTTTAGATTGGTCGACATCAAGAGATAGTAATTGCAGTTGATATACAGAATATGGATGTTGATCTTACCAAATTCCAGAGGCTTTCTTATCTTTATTCCTGCAGAGAGAAATCCAAACAAAATTATCACATTAAGAATGGTAAAAATAACAAAGACAATATGGAGCTGTTCCTACCATAATAGATGATGAATCTTACCTTGGTTTTCCAAGGAAGGCGTCATTGATTTCATCAATGGTTGGCCTTGCTGTAAATGTTGATAATGGAATGTACTTCTCCTTCCCAGATGGTTCATCCACCCTCTTGTGCAGTTCATAAACAGATGGGTAAGTCATTCTGCAATTATGAAATGATAATAGTTTGGTAAAGATATTTCCACTGAAATATTTCTAGGATAAAATGTTTGGAGATAAGAGTAAGATCCAGCATTTCCTTAAAGCACAACAATGACATCAAATGAGTGCTAACAAGGACAATAAATCCATTTGGAGACCAGAAGATTGGATTTCTATAGTCAGTCGCGCTCGCAAAACCTCTAACATAGCCAATATACTCCTGTCCTTTGTCAGGCAATGAGAAGTTATGTCATAATAGGAATAAGAGAAGAATAACCCACCCACTAGGAATAGAAGAATGCCATGAGATCACTTTCTCCAAACATTTCTCTTCCATTCTAAATTGTAACTTTCTACCAACTTGTAACATTCATCAAGAAAAAAATACAGTTGAAGACTTTAAATCTCTATTGGAAAATTGCTCGAATCTTTTTCTTAATTAGATACCATAAATTTCAATGTAAACAATGATACAAATGCTGATTTTGTGCTTACACTATGTTTATTTGCTATTCTTCTCTTTAAGTGTCTTGTTTCATTTCACTAGAAACGCAGAAGCAATGGAGAGAGACTACTCTCTATTTGAGCCACAGAGCAACGAAGTCACCGTTAAAGGCTTTTATTCAGAGATGAGGATCTAGGAGGTATTAACACTCTCCAAGTGAGTTAGAACATTAAGTTAGACCTAACCCAATGCCAAGAATAAATTACACTGTTCTTGGATTTCTACTAGTTTTCATATTTTATGCACTTTAATTCCAACAACTTACATAACAAATCAAGTCCACAACCAACTTCTCTATTCCATTTAATCAATTAAGCTGCTAAATTAGATAAAGCACATATCCAGATGATTATTGGTTTAAAAAGCGAAAGGTGCAAAGTAAAATATCCTTAGCACCAGAAATTTATAGATATATCCTGAATACTGTGTCTTCATATGTTTGTACTGGCACAGTTCTGCAAGAAAGGTTAGACCAATCCAAATGGCCAAAAAATTCACCAAGCACCAGTCAAAAATCATGGAGTGTAGAACAAGACAAGTAAGAATTTGGCTAATAAATAACCCTACCTAATTGCACCCATAATTGGATACTGGGTTCCAGCATAATAAAGAAGCCTGAAGAAGTAGCAACTTTCAAAGGAAGCTGCATACTCCAGTCTCTTGTCCCGACCCATAGTCTACAAAGAAAAAAAAGGGTTAGGAACTCAACATTGGTTCCCGTTAACATGTCTCATTAAATATTTTGTACTACAATATTCAAAGAAACATATTCAGAACATATTCATGTTTTCTTAAATCCATTTGTTTTTATGAAATTTCAATCAATTTTCCGTTTAAATCCAAAAATATACTGATCACAAACAGAATTAGAAAAGAATGTCTTTCTGGGAATATCTAATTGCAAAACAAACCCAGAGAAAGGTTTAACTTACTTGCATGATACCACTTGAACCTGGAAGATCCTATATCCAGAGAATTCCAAAAATACACAGGTCAGAAATATAAATGAATACCAATCACCCTATGCAGCCTATACTTCAGCTACTTTAGGAGTGGGTGGACCAAGATGGATTTTTGGTCTGGCATGGAAAAATGCAACAATAGGTTTTCCCAATGAAATTGGAGATTTTGAAATTTGAAATAAAGTTCAAATACTTTTAAGTTGCAGGCCTAGCACTGCATACTGAAATCATTTGAATGATTTTTTTTTTCTCAAATCTGTAATTCTTCAAAGGAAAATACAGAAATATCACGCTACCTGAGCTACAGATCAGGTAATGAGGGTAGATGGTTTCAGACTTGCATAAAGATCTAAGGTTCAAATCCTTGTCGTTTTTGATGTACAAAATCATTCAGCAAAAACATTCATCTAAGATCATACGAACATCTGACCTTGAGTCTAGGATTGATAAGAATAACTGGCCGGTTCCCAGCAGCATCAGTCATAGCTTTTAAATCCTGTACAGTTAGCAGCAACATTACTTAGAAACTAAAGTGTCAAGTAGAATGCTCTTAGAACAGCCCAGTACAACAATTAGTCTCCAGATTCTTACATCTATAATGCAATTCCCTACAGCATTTTGTGGAGCCACTAAGATGAACATGTCATCTTGTTCATCAACCTCTTTGGCACCTGTCATTGCAAATAAAGGAGACATTAAAAATGAGAATCATTTAAATTATGCATGTAGAAGGATACTCCAACTGATGTATAATCCTTCTTATATAGTATTCCACAATGCTACTGCAGAAGTGATGACATAAGTTTTACAAGTTATAGCAGATCTTATCGGTATGCTCATCTTTGTAATAGTCATGGCATTTTACTATTAAGTTGTTGCATTACATAAGTAGACTGTTACCTATTTAATTTCAACAGAAATGCCATTCAAACAAATTGAAAAATGTGATTTAAGGACAATCAATCACTTCTGTAGGAACATAAGCATTTATGTATATCACTTGATAAACGCGAGGCAATGTAACAAAATGGTTACTCGTAACAAAGAGAAAGCATGGGTGGAAAGAATTTCCGAAAGTTCAATGTGATTGTTGTCTACAATAAGTTTTTGCAACATGATCTGAGAAAAAAAAAACACATCAATAAAATTAGCTACAGATACCAATGCTCTTAAGTATCTCTAAATGGTACACAATGTCTTATGGAGTTTAATTTGTGCTAAAAATCTGACATATAAGGGCATATAGAGATGGAAAGTCTCAAGACAAAGACTCAGCTAACTTCTTACGATGATAGCCACTATGCATATTTTCAGAATTCGTACAACCATAAGAGAGCTGAGGCAAATTTAAAGCATATACCAACTAAATGAACGACAGTAATATCCGCAAGGGATCAAAATAGTCAAATGGTTGGACTTATGCTCATGCTCACTAAATCTCCTACACGCAGATTGCCAACAAGATGTGATCTCTGGCAGAAACATAGATATTTGCAAAACAACCATATAAATATAGAGAATAAACCTTGGCATTGGCAAGGAGTATGTCCTCATACCTATTGAACCAATCTTGATAAATGTTCCCATAGCACCATAATCACCCCAATCCATGAATTCCAAGATCTTCCGAGTACCAGCAAGTTGCAGGGGCATTCCTGCAAGTGCACCCTCTCCCATAGAACCTTGAACACAAACCTGAAAGACAAGGAGAAGTAGGAATGTCTGGATAAATACAAGAAACATTATCAGATTTATATCATTAACTACAAAAAGTACCTTGACACATTTTCCATCATCAGCGAATGAAAGAGCAATAACTCGTACAAGCTCCATTAAGGTACCTATTCGGTACACATCCTGTGCATCATAAGATTGGTTAACCCTATAGAAACTGGGGAAATTAGAAAATAAAATATATATACAGATAACCTCTCACCATTTCTGGATTCAGCTCTGGGATATTAATCTCAACCTGTTGATATAAAAGGAAAATTTCAACAAAATTAATCAGCTCTGCTGGGAATAGACTTTCTGAATGCTAAAAGTACCAAGGCAATGTAAGTTCATCGCAATCTCTCTTCCATCAAGAATATCATGCTAGTCCAATAAACAGTTGCTCCTATATTGCACTGCCAGGAAGCTTTTTGTACATGGTATCAAGATGTCTTATGTCCTTTGAAGCAGACAAATTATGGCTCTGCTTGCTTCTTTGTTCTTCCTGGATCCTTCCAGGTTTTCCTTACAGGATAATTAATAAAATTATTACTCTGATTGAGCAAAAAAAAAATATATTGAAGAGCAGGAGTTATTAGTTGATTTTTGGTGATTTTGCTACAACAACAATCTAAACCTTTTCCCATTAGCTAGGGTTGCAAAGATGGATTCTATTTTGTCATTATTCTCTATTTAGAGCCATACATAAGAAGCTCAGTGAAAGTGAGGTCCTTCTTGATTGCTTCTACCAATGCCTTCTTTTGATCTTCCTCTCCCTTTTTAACATGGTCGTCCTCAATTAAGTCACATATTCTTACAGAAGCACTTATAACCCTTTTTTGCACAAGCCCCAACCATCTGAAAAATGTGCAGATGATTTGTGGCTAGTTTGAAGAATTTCTGCCAATGATGAATGCCCCTGATGTATCTCCCAAGCCCAAACCATATTAATCAAGTGGACACATAATATATGGGAGTTTCTTTAATTGGACAATAAATGATGCAGGAAAAATAGAAAACTATTTAACACCAACCGATGAGGAGATGGGAGGAAAGTATATTATTCCATTTACAGAAGTACATCTATAGACAAATTCTCTATCAATATTACTCAGAGACTAAAGTTGCTAAGCCTCAGGGCAAGAACCAGGACAAGCAATGTATAATCAATGATTATGTTTGCTATGCATTCACTAAGTAGGGAATCCTTCTATATACCTTAGATTTTCTCCTTGCAAAGAGAATAGGATTCAGTATAAAAAGAAAAGTGCTAATCTGGATTAAAAAAAGTACAACCGAAAGAACTGTTACTAGTCACCTGATAGTCATAAAAGTTGTTGTGGCTTCTATAGCGAGGTAATTTAGTCCAAACAAATCAAGTAATAATATCTGACCTTTAGTCGAGTTCTTCCATCATTGACAGCTCTCTCTGTAGCTTGTAGCACATCATCATAGAAATAATTTCTTATTTCTCTTGAGTGAGGAACATTATTCAATCTAGTAGGAATGCCTCTCCATTTATCCTGTCAAAAGCCAAAGAAAGTAAGAAGTGAAATTTCAATTTTGAGTAAAAAAGATTCCTTTTATTTCCTTAGCCCATGACTGAGCTATACAAGGGATATCCATTCGTTTCCCTTAACCTTCCCTTCCCTGGTGAAGGCAGGATTTGATTCCTTATTCGTAATACAAATAACGAACAATTATACTAAGCTAATTGGCACCTTCGTTAAGTAGAGAATTTGGGATCCAGAAGTATTCATCACCACTATGTAAATAGTAATTATAACAATTTACCCTGCTTGAAGATGCCAGATTTAAACGGCTCTCAGCTTGAAAAACTGGTTTCACTGGAAATAAGAAGGAAACAGGAAAAAAAGTCAAGACAGATAACAGAGGCTTTTGTTAGTTAAAGGCACATGGTATGACTTTTCTATGATCAGGCTCAAACGAAAGGTACTCATATGCATGGTAATCATTAAGTGATCTACACGTTAAAAAGTACCTGCAAACAACTTTCCTGGAATTGAAATTATATATGAGGAAATATGGTTAACATGTTGGTAATAGACTTATAGAACAAAATCATATAATGAAGTTGAAAAGTGTCAACAGTAGGTTAAGGTGTGAGTACAGAAACTGACATCTAAGGAGTAGAAGTAACAACAAGTATGACAAACATGGATCTCTCAGCATATTTATAGAACAACTGGCAGAAGGTATCCAGTTTCATCTTAGATAGCAGCCCAAATCAAGGATAGAAAGTGATCCCATGGACATTAATCTCAATTCTAGCCACTGAGACACTGACGTGCCTTGAACCATAGAAATCTCAGTGTAAGAATATTCTCAAAGAAATGGAAGGACAAACAATGATTAAAAGCCTTATTTGTTATAAATACAAGTCCATGGATGAATAATTGATATTCAAGAAAATCCCATCTAACTTGTGATGTGATCAAGGTTAAATTACCATCAGGTGCTTGGATATAAGCTTTGCAAAATTGTATCAATCCATAACAAGGAAACAGAAAGGTCAAAAGAAAACAAGTCTATGTAGACACACACGGGAAAAACCATCATCAATATTTTAGAAGGTAATTGAAACGCCTCTCATCGATGGTTCTTCCAAACATAACAGGTGTATCCGCTACTAAAAAAGATAGTGCTAGCTAGGTTGAAAATATTTCTGGCTTAATCTACAGGAATTTATAGTGTGATCCTATGCTTATATCAAGCAAATAATGCACCTCAAACGAGAAATTCAAGAATCTATCGACAAAAATCTTTTAAATTATGCAAAACTTTTCATTTTCAGAAAGCTTCGATACAGCCTAAGAAGAGTAGGAAAAGATTCCACCAAAAAGACAGTTCAAAGTATCATGCGCTTCAAAACCTGAAATTTGCTTTTACTTACCTGATTTTGCTGTTTTATCTTTCTGCAGTTGAGACAGCAAGGAGTCTATATCTTTGAAAATGATCTCTTTCGAACGGTTTCCATCAATCTGTGGGGAAATGCAAAACTGATACACATAAGCATAATAAGCATAGGAGGAAAATAATTTTTTTTATTTTTGAAAGGCCATAGGAGGAAAATAATACTAGAGAAAGTATTTGAATATCTCAAACCTTGTTCGTTATGCTGGTGTATGTGGATGAGATTGCTGCTGCATTTTTCTTGTATATTTCTAGTCGTGATTTCACCTAAATTAAAAAAAAAATAATGGTAAAAGGATGGGGCAGATATTAGGTGGCTAACACAGAGCATTAAGGTAAATTACGTTTCATGAAATGAAGCAAACATGTATTAAAGAAATAGAGTGCATGCAACATCAGCATTATCTTCAAGTAACTCAGTGCATAAAGGAATTTAGAAGCACTGCAACAGCATATGAAACTCTGAAAAGTAAGTACTTTATCGGACTCAATTCACTGGAAAGTTCCACAGTTTGCTCACATTGTGATAAATGCAGGCATTACTTCTGCCTAGTTTTATTCATAAATGTTTCACGGTCAAGTCGTGCTCCATGTAGGGTTCTTCAGGTTTGTTTTGTTTAAAATAAGCCACAAGATTTCAACTTTCTCCATGTCCATGCAGTAGTGTGAAAATGATGCATATGTAAATAACCATCAGTACGTGCTGTTATGAGTGCTTTTGCAAGTTCCCTTACAATGCATATCACAGACTTTTATGGGTGTACAGGGGAATCATTTAAAACCGAATAAGTTTTGTCTACATGTGCAGTGGAGTCCCTGCTCCAAGAATCTAAGACAAACCTCTTGAAACAATCTATGTGATGATGAATACTAAGCTAGATATATGTTGACCATGCAATACTATCCGCCAGGTTGTACTCATACAACATCTTGACACTCTGCATCTAAGCAAATGAAAACCAACAGAATGAAAGCATGTACATGACAACAGTAATATAGGATCATACTTTCTCCTCTGTGTCATCAGCACGGGTAACCAATCTTGCTTTAATTTCATCTGAGTCAGGAGGGAAATTTTTTACATGGTAAATTTTCCCTGTCTCTGGGTCTAGCCGTCTCCCAACACATCTGTCGATTAGAATTTCATCAGGAACCTGAATATTAAGAAATAAAATAAATGTAAAAGGCATACTTTTTAGCAATAGTTGTCTAGTTAATATGAAATTCAGTGAACATGTCAGAGATTGAAAAGGATATGATCACTATTCACTGTTTGAGTTAAATTTTAAGAGGCAATATAAATAAATTATATAGATGTAAAAACAATACCTCATAGCATTAGATTGAGATGTTATGCAGACAATTAGCCACTTCAAGAATAATATCATAATTACCATCGAGTAATTTGATGGCACAGTAACAATATAGCACATGAGTGGTTGAGTGGAAGGAGGCTGTAAAATTGCTTGTTGGGTCAAAGGTTTTCAAGCACCACAGTGGAAGCTTAGGTTCCTTCCTTCGTTGTAAATGGTTGGACTTAGGTATGTCCCCAACATGGGACCCTTAAGTCGTTTCTTCCTATCTTTGTTTTTCTTTTTCTAAATTCTCTACTGCTAAGCCCTTGTGCAAAGTCCTATGGTGGTCAGTATCTCAAGAAACTTGCCATTGGTTGGATTCAATAAAGTTCAAACAACTTCTGACAAGTAAAGCAGAACCAACATGAGTGTAAAAGAAACATACATCTAATACAATATAGATATCTGGTCTAATATTCAATTCTTCCAAAGTTTGAGCCTGCGCAAAACTCCTTGGATATCCATCAAGAAGCCACCCTTTCTCCTTAGCATCTTGACGTGATAATCTGGCTGTCACCATCTACAAAATATAAAAGTATATATTCAATTTCTTAACCGTATAAGGAGGGAAAGAATGATACAATTGGGTCACTTATGTAGTACAGCCGTCACGATTTCATCCGGAACCAGCTTCCCAGCATTCATGAATTCTTTTGCTTTATTTCCAATTTCTGTCCCAGATGATACTTCATCTCTTAAGAGATCCCCTGTTGATATATGTACCAATCCAAACTGCCAATATGAAGTAAGTAGAATAACTTTAATATTTGAGAAATTAAAAAAATGCTGCATACATTGTAAAAATTCAGTAAAATATTTCTCTTGGTTTTCTTTAAATATATCATTCAAGAAATCCACACTGCAGGTTTCTTCCCATCAAAAAGTGCAAAGACAGCAATCTATAGTTGCATATGGGGGATGAGGCCTCCAGAAGGATGTGCAATTGTCTTGTCAAGGGATTTTGATATTCTTGGGACAGGATATGTGGGTTGCTATGGGATTAAACTGAGTCAGGCTATGATGTATCTCAGTTTGATTCCAAAGCAAACCTTGATTACTAGGCTGTATATATGCAAGCCTCCCTGGAATGTATCTCCTTCCAGGGCAGTGTTGTCTACTACCACAATTGGTAGTTTTTGTAAACTTCTAAATGCAATGAAATTATTATTGACTTTCAAATATATATATATATATATTCTACCCAATTAGATGCAGAAGTCTTAACCACGAAGAGCTAACCCGATAGGAAAACAATATTATCTTCAATATAAGTCAAGAAAAAGAAAAGGCAATCATCAAATTTTATTGCAAGAGGCCGCTCTAATCAAGCCTTAACAAAACTAAAATCGGAAATCATTAGAATAAACAGGGTGCGCCAAAACCTTGTGGTTTCAATTATTGGACATATTTTTATTGAAACCAAAACTGATAAGCTATGCTTAAAATTAGTTACCTTTTGTACAATCAACTCACACTGGGTGCCCTTACCTGATGCCGGGGCACCTGATATCATCACCTTCAAAGGTTCACTTTTTGAACAACTTACCCTCAATCCCTGCCGACAAAAGGAAAGAAAACGTATTAAAAGAGAAACAAGGAAAAGAAAATGAACTAACATGTCTTTCTCTTTAAAAAAAATTAAAAAAAAAAAAAGGAAAAGAACCCATTTTTGTAAAGTGAAAGACCTTAAGTTTTGGGTTAATCCTGACATGGGTTTTGCTATGGAGACCAAAAGAGAGAGGGGAAAGATATGAATAAGAAGAAGAAGAAGAAGAAGAAGAAGAAGAGGAGGAGGAGGAGAAAGAAAGAAAAGAAGGGTTGAGAGAGGGAGCTGGAATGGCACTATAGGTAAGTGGATGAAGAGAAGGGAGCGAAGTAGTGGTAGTAGGAGCAGAAGTAGCCAACATTTTCTTTTTGCTGCACTGCTTGCCAATGGAAAGAGGAGTGACAGAGAGATGACATGCATTTAGAGGCTTTGAAATGAAGTTGAAAAGTCGTTAATGCTAACGGATCAACGGACACCATAAGTTTTTTTTCTTTTCTTTTCTTTTTTTGCCTTGTTGGCCTTCCCCTGGCGAGGCTTCAGTGAAGAATTTTAAGCTACATCATTTTATTACTTAAATACATAAATCTATTTGAATTTAATTTTAAAACATTTTAATTGTTTTATAATACAATAAACTCCATAGAATGTTCAATAATTATTTTATACAAAACTAATGTAATTTATGTGATGATAAACAAAAATAAATCTCGTTAATAACAAACTTAGAGGTTAAAATACAATTTCTTCTTTTTCTGGGGTCTTTTTTAAATAAAAAGGGGAATGGATGCAAATAATAAATCACCATTAATTAAGCAAAGCCATTTGATCTTTCTAAGTTAAAACAGGGAGGCTAAGACTGGAGAAAACATATGGCAACCTTCTAGACATGGAGTTGCAGAGTTCCAGGCTGAAAATTCCTAGATTATTCATGGATAGAAGAAGCAAACTAGTTCTAAGAAACTTTTTGGCCTATTAGAGGGGCAGCAAGAGGTGATGATGAAGTGGTGGCTATCTCTTTCCAAGGAGATTGCCTCATACCTAAGCTAAGCAAGTTGAAGATATCAATCGCTGCTGTCAAACATTTCGGGCCAAATTGCTTATCGTCTCTTCTTCGGACTTGAACTTTGTTAAACTTGTCTTTGTCCTCCATCTTTTTCTACCTTACATATAATTATCCTTTTCTACCTTAAATTGTTAATCATATCTCATTAGGTTTCTGAAAGGTTGATCTAATGTAGGAATCTATTATCCATGTTCATTGTGATTTTTCAAGATTCTTAGGTTCGACTAGTTGAGGTACTGATATGCTCATGTACCTAGATGTTCCTAAACTTGTATATAAAAGGATTATGAGCATTAAGTGCACTTCTTCATCAGGCGCCTTTGTGGCTTCATCACCACAAATATGCCCAACAAGTTTTGTCCATGATGCTGCCATTAATATTGGAGGTGACCCCATTTATTTCTTTCATGTTCATGTTTAATTTGCAACTGGTTAGTTTTTTCCCATTGGGAGGTAAAAGCTATTGCTTTTTAATTGGTTTCATTTGCTTCACAAACATGGTTGGCGATCTTGAGCCCTTATTTGTTTATCAAATAATGTGAATGTCATAACTTTGTGACATTACTTCTACCCCTGACCCCATTAACCCTGGCAGCTGCTTCTTTTAGCCCGAAGTATACCAACCTACGTCCTATGAAGCTTAGACTTAGGCATGTGTGTTGCAACTGCAATTTCTTTTAATTTCAGACTCTTACAAACTAATTATTGGTAATTTACAAACAGATATCTGAATACTAGCAGTTCACGGGAAACCCCATCAGCGTCCTTTTACCGAGGTCCAAGGGCAGTATTCCAATCTTGGGAAGTTGAAAGCATTTTAGAGTTAAGCCAGGTGGGAGAATGGAGAGTACTATAAGAACAAAAGAAAAACGTAATGAACCGTGCTCATTGCATTCCGACTGATAAAAGTTTGGACATAGAAGTAAATAGTATAAGTACCACAGATAAAGTTACCATGACAACCTAGATAGGCCCCCAATATATCAAAATGCAAATACAGACTTGTATTGCATTATCAAGCATCATAGAGATCTAATAAAGAATTAAGCAAAACTGGGCGAAATTATTGTTATTACATTTACCAAAGTCCCCTAACAAAGTAAACGCTCAAAGTAATATGTAAAGGAGGATTGACTAATGTAAAGGATGAATTCTTTTCTCCTGAGCCTCTTCAATGTACCATTTACCTCTTCAAATGTGCCAATTCTTGTGTTTGGGAAAGCTTCTTCAATCTAGCTTTACTGAAGAGAATAAATAATGCACGAACCAGAAAGAAGAAAGGAATCCAATTGTGCCTGTTGCAAACATGATTGCAAGAACCATGAAGAGAGAATACCCCAAGTATAGAGTAGCGGAGACAGGTCCACTCAAACTCTTAAGATCAAATATGAGATAGTTTATGGAGTACAAGAAGATGTAGATGGCAACTGAACCAGAAGCAAAGAAGGATTTCCACCACCATTTCCAGTCCTCCACACAGAGATGCATGTAGGTCAACACTAAAGATACTTCAGCACAAACCACAACAAGTAGGACCAGAACAATGAACAGAAACCCAAAGACATAGTAAACTCGCCCCATCCAGATGCTAGACATAATGAAGAAAAGCTCAATGAAAAGAGTACCAAAAGGTAGAGTTCCAGCACCAAGAACTAACAGCCAGGATGGGTACTTCTGGGCTGGAATTTCCCGAGGGATCTGGTTGGTTCGAACAGGGTATTCAATATGAGGTGCCTTAGCCCCAAAGTATCCACCAACTAGGGTGAGTGGAACAGAGATACAGAACCAAAGTAGAAGTAGAATAACAAAGAGAGAAAATGGAATAGCTCCTGTGCTGTGACTTCCCCATAACAGGAAATTCAAAGTGGTTAGAATCAAAAAGGCAATACCAGGGAAGAAACAAGCAGCCTTCCAAGCGACAGAAACCCATCCCTTGTGATCACCGCAGCCAATTGTTCTCCAAAGACGAACTGCAACATAGCCAGCTACAATACCAAGAATCATGTAGAAAAATAGCATACCTGTAATAAGAGTTCCACGGGATGCTGGTGACATAAATCCAAGAGCAGCAAACAAGATTGTCACAACTGCCATCCCAAGGATCTGAACTCCATCCCCAACCATAATACACAGAAGAGAAGGATTAGATGGGGCACGGAAAACATCCCCAACAACAAGCTTCCACCCAGATAACTCCTCATTCATCTGTGCTTGGGCCTCCTTGTCAAGCTCCTCATATCGCGTCAGATCCCGCCTAACAGTCCTTAAGAAGATCACAAGGACTATACCAGCAAGGAAAGTGATCACCATAAGAGAATTCAAGATCGAGAACCAATGAACTTTGGATCCCTCCATCTTCAGATAAGCATCCCAACGCGATGGCCACTTGATATCACTCTCCTCAAAGGCAACCTCATAGGTGAAGACAATTGGCTCACCTTCCTTGATAGGCATCGACACGGTAGTCGACTCACATTTAATTGGAGATGGGTATTTTTCATACATGTTCAAGTTCTTAACAGAGTTACCATTATGCAGGACACTGCAAGGAACCACCTCAAACCCAACAACCATATATCCAGGCACATCCGATCCCCCATTGCCAATAGTGGGAATAACCTCAGCGGCATCCCCAGTACCCATCACACGTGCCACATTTGTTTCCTCATACTTATGAACAAGCACCTTTAATTTCAAATGATTAAACACATAATACACATCCTGAACCTTAACTCCGACAGGATACCCTGTCCACCTCAACACAAAACCTTCTTTCCTAGTATACCTTATAGCAGGCAAATTATCGAGAATCAAGTTAACCTGATACATCTCATCTATCCTCTTCTTCAATAACTTAAAATCATCAGCTGATAACTTGTTAAATTGACACAAGAAGATCTCAGTCTCATTAGTGTACATCTAAACCTATACGGTGAGTTCTCAATCCGATCTCCCATGAGAAGCTCACCAAGATTCTCAGCACTATCCTTAACACCCTCTGTAGGCTTACAAAAGGGTAAACTATAATAGCTAAAGGGCATTTCGGTGTCAATGGAAGTAAGGGAATTCACTTTGACAGATAAATAGTCCCCAACCACATATTTGTGAGGGTAACTACCAGGCAGATAAAACCCATATCCAGATTGAAATATCAAGCAAATTGTCAACACCCAGATCCCAAAATTACCCATTAAGTCCAAATTTTGTCAGATCTGGGATAACCCAGATCGAGAAATGAGTTTTCTGTGTGAGGGATTTTGTGTTAAAAAGAGTTATAGAAAAAAAAAAAAAAAAAAGAAAATCTAGCAATGCAACTAATATAGAAGAAATTGTGTAAAGGAACGGATGAATCCGACTGACCTCTGGAAGGAAAATTAGAATTGCCTGAGAGAAAGACGCGAAGACTCTCTATGAAGAAATTTCAACTCCAAACATAGAGATCTTCAAAATATTTAACCGAAATTTCGAGAGAAAGAAAGCAGCAATGGAAGGCACGATAACGTGTTTTATATGATGGCTTTGTGCGTTTTGAGCTAATAACGAGTCACCGACACCGTACTGAAAGCTTTTCCCTTTTTTTTTTTTCCTCCCCCTTTTTTGGCGCATTCTTGGATATTTGACTATAATGCCCCTACTTATGTATTTAGATGCCAAATTAACTTCTACTTTCTACCATTAAACATTTCCATGTAAATTAAATTAAAAAATCCCATTTTATTACCAATTTAGGAATATTTAGTACCTTTTCTAATTACCAATTTTAAAGTAAAAAGTAAGTAGAAAAAAAAAATAGAAGAGACTAAACAATTTCCTTGGTGTAAGTCTAAATTTTGAATATTGTGGTCAATTGGTTTTCCCCATAGATTTGATCAAATATGGGCATCCCCATCCCCACAATGTGGACCAAACTTTTCTCTTTTGGGAGAGATTGTTAGGGTGAATTTCATAATATGTCAATGTGTCATGTATGTTCAAAATCAATCAGCCAGCAACACATGCTTAGACAAATATGGTCACTATGCCATTGACTAAGGCATTCATTCTTGTCAAATTACTATGCACTTCTCTCCTAATTATTATTATTATTGAGAACGAAAGGCATTTAATGACCCTAATTATGATGCAATTAATGGACAACGTAGACAACTTTAAGATAAACACAAGAATATAGAGGGAAGGTTAACATTAGATATATGATTGTGTTAAGTATTGATATTTATTATCATGTGCATTATACGTGAATACTTATTTATTTTTAATAATAATTATATATGAATAAAATATATCTTTTAAAATATAAGGTTAGAAGTATAAATAATTCAAAATTTGTAATATTAATTTACAAATTATGCAACATTATGAGAATTCAATAAATATTTTTAATAAAAGTAATTTAATACAATCAAAATTCTTATTTAAAAATTAGATAAATCTTATTAATATTTATAATAAAAATATTTAAAAAGACACTTTATAAGATTGAAATTTATCTCATTTATCAATTTCGTTTACATCTTAACTTGAATTTCAATCCTTGTTTGATACAACCATGTACACTATAGTTATTAAAAATATTTAAAATAGTAAATTGCAATTTATAATAGAATGATTAAAAAATCTGTTTTGTCAATTAAATAAATTTTCAACATTCTTACTTTTATATACATTTTGATATAGATTCTAGATTATTTTTTTTTATCATTTCTCTAAGATAATAAGCAAAATAGTGTAACACATTATCATGTTGACTCATTTCAGCATTATGTATATTGGATCTTTGGATTGAACCTAAAACAAAGAGCAAAAGGATGGGACTAAGTATGAAGCAGAAGTAAATATAGAGTTTAGGGTGAATTGTGCATGAAGATGTCAGGCTTTGTTGTTGGATCAATTTTTGGCTATTGGTGAGATGGATGGCCAAGTTTCTCTTTTGCTTATCTTGGATAACCTTGACCAATGACTCCCAAGGACTAAACTTAAGATTAATGTAGCTTACATCTGACTCTGCCCACTTTGTGAGCAAAGTAAGTGGCTCTATATTGAAAGTAACAATGAAACTCAGAGAAGAACAAACAATATATACGCATATTTTTAATTTTTAATTATAATTTTATACGAATTTATTAATTTTTTAAATTAACAATATGTTTCAAAAGAGTAAATATCGTTAATAAAAAATATAAAAAGATTAAAATACCCTTTTTCCTTTTTTTTGTCTATTTTTTCTCTCCACAGTAGGTGCTCCTTAGGGAAGGGGAGCACTTTTTCTTTATTTTTTTTTTAAAAATAATATAATAGTAATTTTTAAAATTAACAAAAAATAAAATTAATTTTTAATATTATTACGTTATTAACTAATGAAAACAATAATCATTGATTAAAAGTCTGTATGAATAAAATATTTATTTTAAAAATTAATAAACTCACTTAAAATTTTAATTAAAAGTTAAGGAGTCTAAGTATTTTACCTTATATATATATATATATAAAATACAATTTCTTATTATAGTTAAACAAATTTGATGTGTGTCCCCCACGAACCAAAATTGCAATGCGATGATTGAGTACCAAAATAAGACGATGATGATGCACAATAATCAAATGGCTTGGAAGTTGGAACCAAGATTCCCACTTGTAGAGTTAAGTGAGCTGTTAATGTAGATGGACTTGTCTTATGCTAAATTTTCAGCTTAAAATAATATTCTGATTAGATGTCCTAAAGAGTGAAAGGTATACCATACGGGCCACGATGCAGAGATCTCACCATGACGCAATAAGAAAGGGCGAGCATGTGGCTGTGTGGTCCGCCTGAGATCCTCTACGTAGACACGCAACCGGCCATTAGATAAAAGACAAAAACATAGTTAAATCTGGAAGAATTAAACAAGGAAAAAAGTGAACAAATGTAACTTGTATGGTGTAACTCATGATAAAGGTTATACATAGAAAAAGACAAAAGAAAGATGGCACATGTAACCTTAATCTAAACCGATATTTATAGGTTATACAATTGAATACGTATAAACTGCTTAACAAATTCATAAACACTTTCTACGTGTGTTAATCATATTTCTTCACTTGCTTTTATCTATTTTTTAAGTATGATGTCTCAGTTTATACTAATCTGTAAAATATCATTTATTTTAGTTCACTAGGTTTCATGATTTAATTTTATAAAAAATATCTTATATGTTAAAAGATGATATGAACAATTAAATATTCAACCATACTCTAATATATAACTGATGTAAGATTTACGATTCTTTTATGAAACATATGATACATAGTATCTCAAAAATATACATGTAACTTGATTCCGACTTGTCTCATTTTGGAAAATTATTTTTATCTTATTTTTATTTAATTTTAACGAAAATTTTATTTTTAGATGTAAATTACATTTTAATTACTTTTAAATATATGATATTATTAACTTAATTTCTAGATAATAAAGCCATGAAATGGAACACCGCATGCACGAGGACCTCACGCGAGAGCAGCACAAGCTGACCTCTCTGTTGTAATCACCCCCAATAAAAGGCTTAAAGAAGGAAGTTTACGTGATTGGATGGGGCAGTGTTTTTCACATTTCCTGATCGAACTGTGTCATGTCACATGGGGAAGCAGTCAAAACAAGACTTCTTTACAGGTCCCACGAGTCACAACCATGCCAAAAATAAGGCTTGAAGGGCTCCCAACACATGCAGGCATTCATTTAATGCCTTTTGTAACTTTACTTTGTGGCTTCTATCAATACATCCTGGATAAAATTTAGTGTCTCCATCCTATAAACTAATTGAAATGGGAGGGCCCGAAGGACACAAATAATGAAAACAGGTCCTAAACCGGGGAAATGATCAAGGAACTGACCTAAGAACAGTTAGTATTCAGATGTTAGCCTCTTGTACATTCATTTAAGGCATGACATCTAACGTTTAGCACCCAATCCTCGCGATTTTGGGAGCCTAGCAGCGACTAAAGGATTCACCATACCTTGTGAATCCTTACCCAAGCCCATACCTTCAACAAAGCCCATCTTGGCCATCATCTTGGATCCAAAACCTTTAGTATGCTTTTCAAAAGCTCCAAAACCTTTATGCTGACCCCTGGCTGAGTTACCAAATCCTTTGGTACCCTTTTCAGAAGCCCCACTGGTTTTATTTTGAAACCTGTCTGAGTCACTACTTGCGCTGGGGAAATCAACACCCAACCCAAGTGACTTAGGCCGCTGTATTACTTCAATAGGCTGTGCCACACCTTGACCATCTTTTCCCAAACCTCCACCTTCGACAAATCCCATTTTAGCCATCATTCTGGATCCAAAACCCTTGGTGTGTACCTCAAATGCACCAAACTGTGCTGAGCTGACTATACCCTTATGTTCACAAGTTTCTGCTGTACCCTCAGAATCCATAGTTCTGACCCCAACAGTTTCTGATGGCATGTGGCCACTTGATACAAATGACACAGGTTGATTTGCATATGAACCCTTTTTCCCACTTCCTTCTTTCTCACTCAATTCACCAATGTAACTTGAATTAGCTTTCTTTAAGCCACTCCCTTTACCAACCTTCTCTGCTCTTGTTCTACCAGCAGCCAGTGACTTTCTATTAAAACCTTCATTAACAGCAAAGTCTGCATCCTCATTGCCAGCTCCAATTAGCTGAAATCCAGGAAAAAAAAAACATGGTTATAAGTTTGCTCAGTTGCCATTAAGAGACTGTCCAATTACATACTCTAACTTGAGATGGGCAATATAACATCAAATTAACAATTGGATAAAATATAAATGCACAATCCTCTGTGTGCAGTGCATAAGAATGTAGCTAACAACGATTGGAACCTTTTCCAGGCGAAGTCTGTCGGTGGAAGATGGCAAGGATGTGTATTGTGTGTGTGTCACTGTCACGAACCTGTAAAAGGAAAGGGCATCAAGTTTAACCATTAATTCCATTTCTAAATCATGCACAATTGCCCATGCAGCAGACATACTAATTACCTTTTCTTGCCAGAACCTTGACAGCCGCTAGACAAGCGATAAATTGCAGCTAATCTTTGTACCTACAGAGACATGAAGCACATCAAATATACTCCAATACTGGCAAAGGAGTCATCAGCTTGGTAAAATTGAAGATAAAAGCCTCACTTTTATGTCGATTTAAGTCAGACCTCCACATTCAATTTCAAAACAGGATTCCTTTAATTGGTTCTGTTCCATTCAATGCAAGAATTAATTTGGGTAACTAGTATTTTCATCCTACAATTCATCTTCTTTGACACCACTGATGACATTTGCTTTGCTAGGCCATCATTTTGGTTTAACAGAGTAACTTTTCAAACTGAACATTAATGAATTAATATTTTCAGCTAAGTTGATATTAAGAGTTGCAGAAAATTATTCTAAAAGCTCAAATGTACTTCATGAAAATGAATGAGAACGGCAGCTAAGAAAACATTATGATGACTAAACAAGGCTGCCAATACCACAAGACATAAAGGAATCACCAATT